AGGTCCTGCTTTTAAGAAGGGTTTCGAAGTTCAGCCGTCTAATATAGTTGATTTATATCCTTTGATGTGCCATCTGCTTGGAATTCAACCACAACCAAATAACGGTTCATTTGAAAATGTTCGAGTTATGCTGCGAGAGAGTCCAGGCGAAACTCCGACTTCTGGACTAGAGAGAATATACGCAAGGGCGTGGTTTGCTCTAATGATCCCGTTTATTTGCACACTGATTCATCTGTTAAAAAACATCTATTAATCTAACAACGCGCTTTATCTACAAGAGGCAGGCGTGAAATCTAACACAGGTGACCCGAGCTCCGCAAATGATCTAACAGACGTTTTACGTTTGAATAATATACCCTAACCCGTACGTCCCTACCAAATAAACGCCCCGCAAAACAATGCCTCCAAATTACTACCTTAGGAAATAAAGAAAAAGAGAAAAATAACTGAAATTATTTATTTTCTTGCTTGGTTAAAAAGAGTTTGCCCATTATACCTTGTTCCACGCCAAGTTCAAGTGAGGAGTTGAGATTTAAAAAATATATATGTATCTCTAAATTGGCCTGGAAACATCACTGGATGGACTGGATTGTCTACTGTTTGCAAACTGTAGTGATATAGTCGCTGAAAGAGTATCAGTTTCAGTTTGTTACAGTCAGTTTTAAACGGAAGATGATTTGAGATTTAGAATTTTCGAAACATTTGTTGTAAATTTTCTTCAGCTTGTCTGCCTCTCCTAGGATTTTTGAACATCTAAAAAATGGTATAATTGCCCATTTTTAACGGATTTTTACCCTAAAAAGGTCACCTAGAATTTTCGGGAGCCTTTTTTCTGGCTGAAATTTTCGAAAAGGTAGACCTTCAGCTAGGAAATCCGAACAGAGGAAAAATTTTAAGGGGATAAAAATATGCCTATATCTACCGTTTAAAAACTAAAATACGGTACTGGTTTTGAACTACATTCTCGTTGGGTGCCCCTGAAAATTAATAAAAAAAGTCCCGGGCGTCTATTAGATCATTTATGGTACCTTGCACAAGTCCAGATATTGAGTCACCAGGTGGTTTGCCCAGGCTACCTGTGGTTTTAACGGCAGTTTGTAAAGGTGTAAAACCAACCAGGTAAATCCACCAGCAGGTAAATAAAATAATAAATTATACTAGCAAACTGAAAAATTTTGAAAAAGGAAGTAAGAGTAGCCCGCAGTGCTTGTAACTGTGAATAATTATAATTCTTTAGCTGGTGTAAATTCCCGTAAATATTTTTTCTTGTGTCACGGACTGAAGAGTCACACCACTCTCATAGAACTACTAAGCTTTATAATACATTATTTTGATGATAAATGGTAATTTAAGTATTCATAATTCTATACATCATAACGGTAAAAAATATTCGATTTGGGCAGCATTTTCATCTTCTAGAAGTAGCCTTTTTTAACATATACAACCCTGTATAGAATGTGTCTGCTTTCTTTACAAACATTTTTTCACATATTTATGTTGTTTTAAAATGTTTGTAAAGAAAGCAGGCACATTCTATACTGGACTGCATAATTTCTTCAAAACAAGATATTACTTTTCAGTCTTGTGTCCAAAGTGGACTTAACCAAGTCATAAATTAACAGAAAAGAGAAGTGATCTGAGGTGACCGTCCAAACTGACTATGTCACGAGAATCAAGTTGTTTTAAATCATAAAATAATTTTTGGAAGCTGTACAAAGTTAATGTTACAAATTTCACTCACTAAGTTTGGTTAAAAATTAATTCATATTTCAAGGCTGTGCTCTAACAGCGCCAGGTGGCCACTGATGTGTTACGTTTGCTCCTTGGCAATTACAAAATCTTCGTTTTTGCATTAAAATTAAATGCTGGGCACCCTGGAATTCTCAGGTTTAGAGCATTGGGCTTCCTAGAATTTTACTTAGAGCACAGCCTTGTATTGACTACCACTTTAAAATTGGGTTGGCTTGGTATTTCTTGTAATCCTCTTTCTTGAAAAGAGAGATTTCTGTTTCATGTTCTGTTGAGAAGTTTAAGATAAAATTATGTATAATGGTATACAATAATTTATTAATTACTTTTTCTTGTCGTTGATTTTGAATTATTGAGTCAGGGGGTAGAGGGGAGGCACATTATTGCAGGATAGAACAGGGTTTTATCACCATTATAGTGCAGCTGTCCTGGCTGATGTCAGATTGACAATAATCATAATTGCCTATTATTTGGGTGAAGAGCTAGTACATTTTAAATATGTACAAAATAGGCATAAAAAAGAGAAAAGCTAGATTTTCACAACAATTATGCATTTATGGTTTACTATCAGTGGAGACTAAGAAAGACAGCTAAAATATCTCTTTTCATATGATCAGAGAGTAAGGAAATTGAAATTTGAATTATTTTCATAGGGAAAAATATTAAATGAAATGAAACTTAATTTCACTCACCAATTCCATTGTCATGAAGACTGGAGTCTAATTTTAAAATGAGCGCCTCATCATTTTCTGTGTTTATAACTGGATCACTTGTCTAAAAAGTCAATTTATTTTAAAGTAATTATAGAAAAGAAAAGAAAATTTACTTACTAGGTATAAATTTACATTTTCAAAAAAACACCAACAACAATCTAAGCTTTTCCTAGAACAAAAAGTGATCACTCACAGGGGGTGTTTCTTGGTTTTGGGAACCAACTAAGTTGGCTTTTGTGTTGTGGTGTGGGAATTACTGTTCAGTATCTTTTAAATCTTCTGTGTTGCGTCATTTGGTGATTGCACCTGTCCCCAACTCGATTACACCAAATATAACATTACAAAAAAAAAAGTGCGCACTCTGATTGGTCGATTACTCATTTACTATTTGCCCATGGGTGAATGGTGATGAAAGCTAGCACATGCTCAAAGCCATACGCGCCACTTTCTACGTGACTACAGCATGTTGTTTTTACCTCATGGTTTGCATGCAAAAAAGGTAAGATTTCTAAATATAATTATACCACCTGTAATCATTCTTCAGTCAAGGGACAGCAAAAGACTCCTTTCCATATCGCTGACACATATGTGTCAGCAATGTGATCAATATGTGTTATGTGCAAACTGGTTGTTCTTGACAGTTTAAAATCAGTACAAATTATGTGAAACCATTATCCCCTAACAGTAGTCTTGTTTTCAGTATACATTTAATGTACCAGAGGTTCAAAGTGCTTTTGCTAGGAACAACATCAGTGTTATGGGTTATGGATAATAAAACAGTCCAATCATCCCGATCTCGGTGGGATTCTCCCGATTTTCCTTAAAAGTCCCGAATCCGGACCAATATACAAACGGGATAGGAAAAATCCCAATTTTGACAATCTTTTCTGATGTTTTCAGGATACTAATATAAGAACACCTAACAGAGTATACTAACCAAAACTAATATCCAGGAAACATTAATAAAACCAAAAAATATACTTGTAGTAAAAAATTACTATTGAAAATAAGCATTAAAATGACAATCGATTTACAGCAAACATTTTAGACACAAGTTTGTCCTCTCAGAACACTAGAAATAGCATTTCTAGGCATCAAGTTTTCAAAATTTTCTGGGCAAGCAATCCCCTAGACCCCCTGGGGGCTTGTGCACTTGGCACCCGCGGGATTCATTCAGTCATTAAAAAATATCCCAAATTTACATACCCAAAAGGTTGGACAGTCTGGGATAAGTGATCAGTCATTTAGAAGAGGAGGTGAGCACATGAAGGTTGAAGTACATTTCCAATTTGTTTAAATTAAAAACCCAATAAAGCAAACATGAAAAGATGTCTGTTGTGAATGAAAATAAAGAATAAATTGAACTTAAGTTGGCATTAGCTGCTTGTTGTGCTGCCCTAAAATAATCAATCTTACCTTTGCACCATGAGCTTTATGCTGAATTTTCATTGTATCTGAAAAACAAATACAAGGTAAAAGTAATCCTTACTAAATGAATTTGGCTTTCTAGACATTTATCAGCAACTGGAGAAAATAATTAAAACCAGTTTATAAATAAAAAATGGTAGCAACCAGCAGTAGAGTGCAATCTAGAGGGTATCTTAGGTACTGCCAACTGTTTTGGAATGCCGACATAAGCCACATTTTCAACACAGCTGTCTTTTTTGTGTTAAAATCAGCCTTATTGCTGGTGGTTATCCTGGCCTGTCTAATACAGCCTGTGTCTCCACAGTGGTGCATGGAGGTATTATACCCTCACCAACAGTAGAACCCCCAATAACTCAAGCTTGGATAACTCAAACTCCCCGCTAACACGAACAAAGTCACATTTCTCTTGGATTTGACCCTTCTTTTCAGTCATTTTTCTCGGATAACACGAATTCCTGCTAACTGGAACTAAATTTTGTTTACCTTGATAACTCGAATTATGACTTGCATTTCACTACAAATGCCATCCCATTAGCTCTTCTTGTCGTGTCACTAAGACTCACACTACAGCAGTTTTTTTAAATAAGTGCAATGAACAGATCACATATTCATTTCCTGTTGTAAAAATGCATAGTTGTGTTACAGTTTCTGATGAGATAAGTTTTAATTGCACTCTGATGTTTACTGACATGCTGAAATATCAGTAAAATCTCAATTATTTACACGACAAATTGAAAATTCAATCGACCTCAATGACTGGAACCTCCTCTAACTTGAACTGTTTTTCTTTTTCCTTCAGAGTTTGAGTTACAGGGGTTCTACTGTACATCTGGATTCCCCCCAAATTAACAAAATGGATTCCTTAATTCTGTGACGTAGATAATTATAACTAAGCCAAGAAAATTTGTACAGGAAATCCGTTTGTGCTAATGCATTTAATTTCATACCACGCTGGTTGATGACTAATAGAATTCTTCAGGGGAAAGTTATAAAAATGGAGGATTTCTTTAGAGGTAGAATAAAAAATTGTGGAATTCTTTGGGGGCAGAGATTCCAACCCTGACGATTTTATTGGGAGTCTCCTGATTTGATGTGTTGCCTCCTGCTCTCCGGATTTTTATCAGATTCTCCCAATCTATCATGACGTTCTGAAGACGAGGAAAAAATTGCTTATCTTAAGTATTCACCGTCTCAACACTGTGTGCTGTGCTGACTCATAAGGCCAGCAGTCTATACGGAAGGTTTAGAGTGTTTGTGACAATAGTAGAGAGTATAACAGAACCCATACCAGTGTGGCTCTCCACTGAATGCAGCCTTTATACCTTGTGGACATTAAGTTTACAATAAATTATTCATGATTTTTCAAAGTGGCCATGGTGTAAAAGCAGTGAAAGAAATCTCCCCGTTTGATTCTGAAACGATGGATTAACAACAGCAAAGAAAAACCCAAAGACATTTGTGATAAGAATAAAGACCTTACAGAATACCACAGAAATGATATCAAAATGCAGGAAATGCCACTTGAGAGAAACTCAGTTTGCAAAATTTCCCTAGAGCCTTGGGCACTTCTGTGAGCGCCTTCAGTGCTAAAAAATACTCCCTGTTTTCCCTCAAAAAGGGGTTGGAATCTCTGCAACGCAATGAACAGGTTTTATAGCTTGTTAGGTACTATGTAAGCAGGCATAAATTTATTATGAACATCAGTGAACGTAGGAGTACCTACCATAAGCAAAAGTTTTGAAAGGAGGAGGAACATCAGGTCTTTTCTTTATCTCTACAAACAAGTACAATACCTGATCACTAAAAATTCATTGAAAAAAATAAATGGACTGCCTTTTTTTAAAAAATTCAGCTTTGCAAAGTGTGTATAAAAACTGTAGGCATTCCGTAAAATCCCAATTTTATGCATACATGTTTCGACGCTATTCATATTAACCTATTTGTGAGGAAAAGGATGAAATTGCTGCATGCATAATAAATGTATGGGGTTATACGGAAATCTTCGCAACTTGAATTGTGACCTTCCCTATGTAGTTACCTGTTTTAACGAATTTAATGAAATCCTCAGCAGTTTGATCCAGTAACACGTCTTTGAAAACAACATATTTGATACTTCTATATTCAAAGGATCTTATTAGTCTGACAGAAACCGTAACTGTTGTCTTCTTCGTTTCTTCCAAACTTTCAAAACACTTAGTGCGTTCCGCCATTTTGGATAACCGCGGCAAAGTCTAGTCCCCAGGGTCTACTCGGTTAACGTTCCCGGGAAGGGGAGGGAAGCAATAAAACCACCAAGTTTTCGTTGTGTCTTCCCGTAGTTTTTCAACAAATTATGACCGGGATTGTAGGGTGGCAATCATTCTCCCTTCCTTTCATGTCACCGTGAACAGATCGAATTTATGACCAGGAACATGTCAAAATTACCTGACATTTCTATCAAAACTGGCCTTACTATAACTACTTTTCTCGATTCGTAATAAGCAAAGTACCATAGTTCCTTCTTAAGTTTTATTTGACAGAAAAGGATGTGTCTTGTGTTTAATTACAACCTCTAAAAATAACTTCCCATATCCCAGTCAACGCTCTAAGATTCCCTCTCTGAGCCCCCTTGCCCGGGGGAGTGGGAATACTTGAGTTCATTTTTGCTGGGAATGTGCCGCTGGCCTCTTAGAGCCCCTACCACATTATAGTCTATTCTGTGGCCAATTAATTATAGACCCCATCTTAGTCACTTTTGGGTAAACACGTAATTTTCGCGATCCCAAATTAATCACTTTCTATTTATGTATCCACCTCATATTGAATGAAGAACACTTTGATCAAAAATAATACACAAACAGCGGTGATAAACATTGTGAGTTTTCGCATTTTTATAAACTTGACGTTTCGTATGCTATTCAACATACATTTTCAAAAGTGATCTTACCTGGCCGTTAAAATGACGAGACTATATATTCAAAAATTACAAGGGGTCTGGAAATGAGATTAAGAATTTAAAAATTCTTAATGAATACAAAAGGCAACAGCTAATAAAGCACCAGCTTTTCACCGCTGACGTTGACATTAAAAGCTGGCTTGTATGAACAACGTTTCTTTTATCTTACAATGATAATCTGTTTTGCCAGATGCTAAGATTTCACAATGTTTATCACCGCTGTTTCTGTTTTATCTTTGATCAAACTACGATGGCCCAAAAACAAAAGTCTCGAAGAACACTTTACTTTTCACCTACAGTACAAACATTCTGGTACGTTAATGCTATCCGTAAATATGAAGAACTGTCTTACCCCAAGAATCAGAAAATGTGCGACCTTATCGTAGTAACTCTATTGAAACTGCGACCCCATATAGTCAATCNGTTTTCGCATTTTTATAAACTTGACGTTTCGTATGCTATTCAACATACATTTTCAAAAGTGATCTTACCTGGCCGTTAAAATGACGAGACTATATATTCAAAAATTACAAGGGGTCTGGAAATGAGATTAAGAATTTAAAAATTCTTAATGAATACAAAAGGCAACAGCTAATAAAGCACCAGCTTTTCACCGCTGACGTTGACATTAAAAGCTGGCTTGTATGAACAACGTTTCTTTTATCTTACAATGATAATCTGTTTTGCCAGATGCTAAGATTTCACAATGTTTATCACCGCTGTTTCTGTTTTATCTTTGATCAAACTACGATGGCCCAAAAACAAAAGTCTCGAAGAACACTTTACTTTTCACCTACAGTACAAACATTCTGGTACGTTAATGCTATCCGTAAATATGAAGAACTGTCTTACCCCAAGAATCAGAAAATGTGCGACCTTATCGTAGTAACTCTATTGAAACTGCGACCCCATATAGTCAATCCAGTCGTGAAAATGCGACCCCATCCAGCGGCACATGCCCATTAGCCTCTTATAAGGAAGTATCGCCCCGGGTGTTGTTGGCAGTGACTGACATTTCGACAACCTTTGCCGGGTAGTCATCTCCAGAGTCAAAGTGAGTTGTATCACAACTTAATTGACCAATCAGGCCAATTAACAGAGTTTAATACCATTAACTGACGTTATACAACTCATTTTGACTCTCACGATGGAAAACGTGGAAACGTCAGTCACCGTCAGCAACATTCCTATTAAGGACTACGTTCACCCAGACGATCATGCATGCTCAACCTACTCCGGAAATGACTCGTAGCTTCAAACCTTTCACAGAATGTTTTTTTTATTGGTTTAATCGGCTCTTGGCGACAATTTTAAAACCATGCTTTTCATAGAGTCTGATTGCAGAAGTCGCTGGGCTTGACGTATCTAACACAATCTTCTCCATTTCTTTCCTCTTTGCATATGCAGTAAGTTCAGTAAGCAGTTTTTTACCAATCCCTATTTTTCTACAGTGCGGAACGACATACATCATCTGTAATTCAGAAACTCCTGGATGCGGCTTAGGAGTGAGTCTCACCATCCCCACAACTTTACTATTTAACTCTGCAACCCAGATTTGTTCTCCGTCAGACAAACTAAACTTTGTATTTAACCTGGATTTCTGCCAGCTTTTGTAAACGCTAAACCAGTAAATGATGGGGCATATGAAAAATAAAAACGCAAGCAGAAAATATACTGCTAAAATCCACGGTGACCATATGATTGCTGTGAATGAGGCAGGAACAGCTCCTACAGCAAAATACCATGTCACTCTTGTCAGAAAAAACAAAAAGGTATCCTTTGCACTCTCGTTGCTTCCATCTACGAATATTTTCTGACAAGCTGCTCTGTCATTTGGCCGGAAGAAGCGAATGTTTACAACAGATGAGATACGGCAGTGTTGCTTTGAACTTGAAAGGGCCATTTCACTCTAAAATGAAACAAATATATTAAATCACAACTGGCGCCATATATTGAAATGTTCAAAGCTTTTATTTTACCAGGAAGCTTTACGGTGAAACCACTTATCTTTTTACATATACATCACGTAAAAAAGACAGCGTAATAAACATCAATGGCTTAAAACAAAAAAACTATTTATAAGGCAGAATATAATTTTTCTGACGTTCGTACGTCAAACTACATGGCCGCGCGGAGATACGAAATTTCTCTTCGAGTGTTAAAAAATATGCGAACGAGTGAAATATTTTCAACACGAGAAGAGAAATTTCGTATGTTCAAGCAGTTGAAGTGTAGTATGGGTAGAATGGAGTGCCATGAGGTATGCTTATCACGGGGGAAAGCATTCTAGGCCGACACCTCGTCTAGCCCACGTTATTTTTTATTTATTATTTGATTTATTAAGTCACAGATCGAGTTGCCGAGGGTTTTAGCTTGTTTCAGTTATTTTTCGTATTTTCTCGACTGATTATTTCGAATTTATCGTGCTTTGTTGGAATACATGTTTAGTAATAGTGGGCAGTAACCTTCCAGTCGTGTAGCCTTCGTAGGATGGGCCTTTCAGGGCATGAGCCATGACCCAGACGTCGTGCCGAGTTTTTTCCCTAGTAGGGTTTTTTCAGGCAGATTTTTTCTGGCCTCTGTTCTGACAGTATTCTTTATGAACTGTCGTTCAGCTCTGTTCTAGTTTATCTACCATACATTTGAATGTAATAGAAGTTGTAGTATAACCGTGTTGTTATTTCTGTCGTGCTTGGCCGAAACAGCCAAGATAAACCTAATGGTTTTTCCGATTCATGTTGTACCGCGGGACGAGGTTGAATGATGATGGAACTGAACCCAACGCACTAGAGACAGGAAAATTTAAACTTTTTGAAAGCAAGACTGAAATCTTTGGCAAATAGCGCTAACTTTTCAACATTTTGAAATGTGGTTTGTATTATTTATTTATTTATTTATTTAAAACTACGACGGCGACGACAACGGCAACGTCAAAAAGCAATGAGTTTAGTCAGTAAAACAACAACTTTGCACGTGCATCACGCTTTTCTGTACATTTTTTTGCCGTCCCTGCACGAATACGACGTGAAATGACCAAATGTTAAGCTCTTTTGAGGACGGGAACGGCAAGGCGTTAAGTCTGAACCTAGGTGCGGCCCTCTCTCTTCAGCTCCAACATAAATTGTCGTACAAACACGAAGAAGTTCTCGCCCTTTTTTCAAGCGCCTAAGTTTTTTAATTCACTTGACAACAAGGTCATCAACTCTCAATCCCTCTCCTCTTTTAAGAAAAAACTGAAGATGAAATTATTGAGTAAGTTTGAAAACAGTTCATAAATCTTTCCATCTTCGACTCTTCGCCTTCTTTTCTTCAATTGATGTGGTACAGCTCTAGCTCATAGTTCGAGGAGGCCTAACCTCTCATAAGCTCCTATAGCTTCTGTTAGGTCTCCTCGCCACTTCTTTTTTTCTTCTTTTCCTATACTTTTTGTAATTATTGTGTGGCAAATAAAATAAAATAAATAAAAATAAATAAATAAATAAATTCCCTTCTTTTAAGTAACTGGGCGACTCGGGATAAGCGCGAAATGGTTTGAAAGGATGCGGACGTCTATTTTTCAGCAAGGGTTTCATGGACGATGCCGTTATCAGATCGTAAAGTCCCTAATAAAAGAGAGACTGCTCGCAGTGTCACGTGCTAGTCCCCTGAGGCAATTTATTCTTATTCAGGTGCATATTTACGCATAATTAACGATAAGAAAATTCTTTTTAGGCCTTATTGTGAAAACAAACACACAAACTAGAGGGATCAAAAGCTGGGGGGCTGGTCTCATTTGCAGCCGCTCGGATCGAAGTCCAGCTTTTGCTATTTCTGAGTGGCTTTGCTCTCTTTTTTTCTTAATGTCTTTACACTTTTGTATCAAGAGCACAATAAACGATTGTTGTTGTTGTTGTTGTTGAGTCACACGATGCTCCACCGGAGCGGCAGTGAAGCAAATAGATAGCGTTTTCTTATTATTTTCTTTTTTTGGTGTTATTTTTTTTTGGTTTGTACTACTGTCAATTCTAGGACGCCAAAGCGAACCACAATGAAGAAATCTTATGAATGAATCATGATAGCAAGTTTTATTTGAGAGCAATCCCCAAAAATGAGCCTTCGGCTGCTGGGTCTGAAGGTCACATCACTGTTCCATTGATGATTTACTAGAAAGTGATCTGTAAGTTAGACCTGCTAGCTGGAGGAACCTATAAAGGGAGGAGTTTACGATATTGTTATTAATATTCACACTACAGCATACAATGTACATACCGAAATCGGCTCTGATCGTTTTCACTTGTTATCGGCTGTTTCCACTGACAGTGCTTCTCTCTCTATTACCAATGGCGCCGAAATTCTCGAAATAAAAATCGACCATTGGTAAATCTCTCTGCAAGACTGCGAGGAACAACGAAATACAAATGCAGGAGATCGAGTCAATACTTCTCCTGATCGAGTGAGTTCATTAGTGCTTTATAGCATAGTCACATATAGATGCGCGTTTACGTCACAAATAATGCCACAGGTACCCCAAGTTCACGAAGGAGAATGTTGTTGCGTAACAGAAATATTATGAGAGTTGGTATGGGCATTTTCAGCGAGTTTTAGTTCTGGCATTGCTCTCTCTATATATAATTATATATAAATACTTGTATTCTGAGTAGAATGTATTTCTTGGAGCGCTCAATTCATTCGATTGAAGAGAAGGAGGTCAGGCTTCAGGAGTAATCATCGTTTATTGCGACAGTGCTGATTCGTATGGTCTCGCCTGCGTGGCAAGCGTTTCTGCGTGAGTTCGTCGAGAAAGTAGGGACGAGGGCAAAAAAGAGGATTGAAGGGGGAAGGGGAGGGGAGAGAAGGAAACATAAGAAAATGCGAGGGGTGACAGGCCGCACAACCATACCGGCGTGAAACCTTGTGTTAAACTTTTATATTTTAGCTCTAACGAGCATGTCCTTTAGGGATTTTCTTTTCTTGTAGGAAATGGTAGGTGGTTCTTTAAAAATTTTGCGAAGTAGCGGTTGGTTTTGTAAAAGATTCCATTTTTTCATAAAAACTTCTTTTAAAGTAGACACTGAAGGCTGGTACTGTGTCACGAAAGGCCGCAATACTTTCTTTTTCCTCTTCGTTGTTGTGTTTAGGAGTGCAGACTCCCTCTCTGTGAACTTTTTATCTGATAGAAGGTTTTCTATCGAAGTTTGTGGGTAGCCTCTGTCAATCAAGCGTTTTTTGAAACTGGAAATATTTTCCCCAAAAGTAGTTTCTGAGGAGGTTGTTCGTAGGATTCTCAAGGCTTCTCGCTACGCATTTATCACCTTTGACGTATGCGACTTTTACCCACCCATATCTGAAGACCTATTACTTAAAGCATTAAACTATGCCTCAAGATTTACCATCATCACCCAACAAGACCGCCACATCATTACCCACGGGAAAAAGTCACTCCTTCAACAGCAAAACTCTCCATGGACCAAGAAGAACACAAACGACATGTTTAATGTCACCATGGGCTCTTAGGACGGAGCAGTGTCCTTGATAGCATCCAAATGCTGAAAATTCAAAAATGAAGTTGGCCTGTACCGTGACGATGGTCTCGCAATTTGCAAGGGCACTCCGAAAGAAATTGAAAAAAAAAACAAACAAACATACAAGAAGTCAGCCAAGTGTTCAAATTGAATGGCCTTAAAATCACAATTGATGCTAACAAAAAGATCGTCAACTTCCTTGATGTGACCTTAAACCTCACAAACGGGAGCTACAAGCCATACATGAACTTAGCCTAATAACAAACTGTCGCATGTTTAGTCAACAAAGCAACGACCCCCCAGATGGTATGGATGGGCGCGGGGGGAAACAAATGTCAGTTGTCAGTTAAATGATTATTAATAATAAACTACGAAACGTATTTGTTTATTTTTGATATGAGATTTAGCTAAAAAGGCACATGCAATGTAAATTAAACATAAATTCGACAACTGATGCAACAGTACCTTAATTTTTATGTAATACTTTTGCTATGAAAGCATTTCAAGTGGCATTCCATTTCTCAAGTCCCACACAAACGTTTTTGCTGGTCAGAGTCAAACATTTCCAAACATTTAGCCAATCAAAATTTATACCTTCAGAATTTTGGGACGTTGATGGTTAGAAAGACCAAGAGAGACCATAACTGAATCATCTCGGTAAAAAACTTACAATTGCTTTAAAAACGCCCTCATAGGCAGCCATCGTGTACGCTGGCGCGTTGTCAGCGAAGAATTTTTGAGATCATAGGTCATTTAAAGCGGACGTTACATGACACATGGGTTAGAATCCCGCCTTACGGCCACCTTGGTAATACGGTCACCTCGTTATTATGGCCACTTTTTTTCGGCCCGGCAAAACGGCCATCCATTTTCTTATAAAAAAGACCGTTAATGCGGTCACTCTTTAATAGCGGAGCTCTCGCGCGCGAAGCGCGCGCAGCGGAGCTCCATGGGTAAAAAAATGTGGTAAACTACCCATCCGAGAAAATCGGGTATTCACGTGACGGTACACGGACCGCCCGCCCGCCCGACCGTCCGTCCGCACCACAGGCATACCAATGTGAAATAATTCAATCAACAGGTATAATAATGTGTAACTAGGAAGTTTGAAGTTTTAGTCCTACAAAACAGCGTTGTAGTTGTGCAAAACAACGGCAAAGAAAGACAAAAAGCGTGCTGCACGTGCAAATTTGTTTTTTTTTTTTGCTAATTAGAATTCAGCTCTCTCCCTTTTTCGTTTCCATCTCTTCCCTTTTCCCCCAGAAACGCCTGATACTCAGGCAAGCACATACGTAAACCAAACTTCAATGAAAGTTTCCCACGCTCAACGAAACCAATGACAAACTTTAAAAAAACGGGAAGGGAGTTGTTTAGATCTCAATATACTAAGTTCAGGTAAGGTACTTCCAAAATTATCACCAACTTATTGATATGATTCCTTACTATAATCCTAGTTTAGAATATTTTATCGCAGGTTGATGTCTAGTTTTACATGTATAGTTAAGGAGTTATTTTTTTCACAACTAGAATTAAACTCAAAATTCTGGTAAATATATAAATTTTTTAACACGGCGTTTATGTAACTGACCAGCTCATTAGCTGATAAAACTACCGTGACTAAATAAAACATCTAACCTAAACATTTTCGAATTGTTTTACACAGGACCACAGAATTAAACGTCCGTGCATCAGATACTTTACACTGAGAAATTTGCCTCAACCAATAACCCCGAAAGTCTAAAATAATAACTTTCACGAAGATATGTCACGAAGATATTGCAGCTGTTTTAGGTCAATCCTGTGCTGATGTCCGATTACTTAGTGCCTTTACCCTCCAGAGCTGTAGTAAGGTTATATTTCCTAGGGGGCCAATCGCAAGCGCCGAAGGAGGGGGGTCCGGTCCGGGGTCTCTGAAATAGCATTTTCTGCCCTTCGAGAGCATTGACTTCCAGCAATTTTTAACTGACCAAAATCATTGATCGGAAATTTTCATGCTTTATCGAACTGAAATCAACACATTGAACCGAAAAGCAGCGTGAAGAGCGTGATCGGTGACCAAATTTAAACTTGCCTGTCAAAATTATTGGGGGCCCTTGCCCCTCCCCATGCTACAGCACTGCCCACTAACACAAAACTGATGCAGCTCCTTTGAAGTAGTTAGAAAGAAGATATCGAAAACATCTGATCAGGGAGCACTTACCAATAACAACTCTTTTGGTGATTTTTGAAGGCATGCAATTAAAACTTGAAAAGGTTGGGCCAACAATCAGTGGTCGGTTCCGGCAATTCTACTGTTTACAAAAAACGCGGATTACGACAATGAAAAATGCCTAAAAATCAAGGTGTTTCACGCTCAAAACTAAAAATAGGATACCTTTTCTTAACTTTCACTTGCCGTTATGAAAACCTGAGAAAAGTGCCCTCTTTTCTCTTGAAAAGCCGGATATTTTTTGGATTTGTCTTCGATATAAAGTGAACCAACTTTCTTGAGTAATATTTACATCTCACTAATCGCAAAAAAAGCTGGACGGAGAAATTTCTCGAGTTTTTTCAGTTTTTTGTCTTTTCTTCAAAGTCGAAAAAAAGTCGACTTTTTCACGGCCCCTTTCTTTGTTTGGTCTTTCTGGAGAATATAGGTAGGAATCCCAATCTTCGGTCCTCTCGACTGACAGCTGTCAAAAAATGGCGGGAAATTCTGAGCAATCGTGGTATTAATTTACAAGTGTTTATATGTATTTACACACTTTGTGTTCCGGTAATGTTTCAAGATGTCGGACGTTTACGTCAAAATTAAGATGGGCGAGAAAGAAAAAAGGGTAAAACTTTAGTCTTCAACTCTAAACAAAGGTAATATTGCCATGATATTTAGGGTCGATCTAAACCAAGGGATCTACGTGCATTTCCTTCGAAGAAGGGGGGATAATTTCACCATTAGTTACGTCTTGCTTTTAGCACATCGAGGACTTTGAGAAGACGTACACTTGGACGTCGACAAGAACAAATCTCAACCCCCCGCCTGGGCAGAGTGCGCTGTCCTTCACAACCGCCGAGAAGGGTCAAGTGGCGTGGAAGAAATCGCTTGTAGTGGTGGACATGTTGTCGTCAGAGAAGAGTTCCAGGTGAACATGTCGCTGACCGAAAAAACTTCGTCGGTCCATGAAGTACAGAGGCTACTAAAACAACAATTAGGCTTTGAAGTGATTCTTCTCGTCCACAAGCTTTGAGCTTTAAACCTTATCGTGCTTAAATAAAGGATATGTATGTATGTAAATACTTCATCGACCGACGAAGTTTCTTCGGTCAGCACGGTGCACCTGGAACTATTCTCCGATTTCGCCGGTAGGCGACACGTCCACCATACAAGCGATTTCTTCCACGTCACTAGACAAGATCTTAATGGTGGTGAAGGTCGGCATCGGTCGTTTTAGTTGAGATCTGTTCGTGTGGCCGTCCTTTAGTAGGAAAGAGGTACACCAAGCGCTTTAGACTGCAGTGCGGGCACTACTGAGCTAACCGAGTTCGCAATCATTCGTTCTCCGTTGACTAAGTACATCTTCTTAAAGTCCTCGACGTGGTAAAAGCCAGTGTGAGAGAATTATCTCCCCTCCTTTGAAGAAAATGTATGTAGATTTCCTGGTTTAGGACAAGCCTAAATATCATGGCCAGAGTACCGTTGTTTAGAGTTGAAGACTTTAGTTTTGCCCCTTTTTCCCTTCTCGTCCATCTTAATCTTGACGTAAACGCCCGACATCTTGAAACATTGCCGGAAGAAAAGTGTGCAACTACATATAAACATATAAACTATAATTAACGCCACAATTCGTTGCTCGCAATTACCTTTCATTTTTGACAGCTGTCAGTCGAGAGGACCGAAGAATGAGATTTCCGCCTTTACTTGACAACTGTCCGCTAAGAAGACCAAATTTAAAACAAAAGAAAGGGGAAAAAAGTCGACTTCTTTTTACTTTGAAGAAAAAGGCACAAAGTTGAAAAAACTCGAGAAATTTCTCTTTCCAGCTTTTTTGCGATTGATGAGATATGAATATTACTCGAGAAAGTTCGTTCACTTTATATCGACGACAAAATCTTAAAAGTATCCGGCTTTTCATGAGAAAAGGGGGCACTTTTCTCAGGTTGCCATAACAGCGAATGGAAGTCAAAAAAGTGTTTCCTTTTTTAGTTTTAAGTAGAGAATACAAATAAAGATCTTGATTTTCAGGCGTTTTTCATTTTCGTAATGCGCGAGTTTTGCAAAAAGTAGAATTGCCGGAGCCGACCACTCATTCCCAACTTTTCAAGTTGCAATCCATTTACATCTTACCATCTGTTCCACAGACGACAGGAAATAATTTAAAATACCAAAAGTGGACCACTATTTTTGGAATTCAGCAGATGGGAAGACAAGTTAGATCAATTAAGGTTTCTGGGAAACTGCCCACCTACCCCTCCCCTAAGCTAACATTAACACTTGCTTCTCACTTAGTACAAAATGTTGGCTTGGGGGGAGGAGGGGTTAGGTGGGCAGTTTATTAGAAACCTAAATTGATGTCGGTTTTAGCTTTTTAAACGTCTTGCCTTTATGCAATATACTGCTTATCATAGACTTGGATCTCTGCTTAGTGTGGTGGCACTAGTCACTGCAGC